CATGTTCCCCATTCTCTCAGTCTCAGTTGTTATTTTTTTTCAGATAGAAAAACACAACTCTTCTAATCTCCTTCCATAAGACCTTCCCCCCATCTGAGGTTCTCCAGACAAAGGACTGACTGGTGCAAGCTTAAGCCCAGCTATATTTATGAGCTCCTCAAATATCCTCAAAAAGTTTTGTACAGATCCCACACCATGATACACACTAAACTATACTCACTTCCAAGAACATCATCAAATCACACAATAAACCCTCCAAGCTATAGCACCTCTCATTACAAACCTGCCTAGTTACTCTACCTTCACCACCAGCTCAGTCCTTCCTCACCAGGAATTGCAGGAAACAAAAGCTGCTCAAGGTGAGCACAGCTTATGATATATCACTGCTAAATGCAGTCCATCACACACACATACACCCTGCCTCTACCTCATAAGCTTTTTCCCCACCTCTTTCCCCACAAAGAGACCAGTCACATCTTCATAGTAGACCCACCACTATGGAGGATGCCACTAAAGGACTATGGGCAAACTGAGAAAGGGAAGGGCTTTGCACCCAAGAGTTAAATAGCAGCTAGATCAGATATCATAGTTAGAAATTTCTAAGAAAAGTATTGTGTTGCTATGGAAACCTCAACATAAACTGGGTTTTCCCTCCTTTTGTTTGCAGGGACTTTATTTACTAAAAACATTGGCCTCCTCCAGTGGGACCTGCAGCTTGCACAAAGAAATTTAACGTCCACTTCTCCTCGTCAGTCTATTTTTCAGACCATACCCTTTTGCAACCTCCCTGTCAGAACCTCCAGAAGAACTCTTCTTCTACAATTGGTATAGTATGATCTGCTACCCACCAGGAAATTTAGCTCTTAAATCTCCATTTTCATTCTGCTTGCGGGGAAGGAGGCAGGGAACGGAAGGTTACTGGTACAGAAAATAACCCCTTTGGGTCTTCACGAAGAGACAAGTGACCCCTACAACTTCTGTTCTCCCTGAGCCAGCAACATACACACCTAGTGACTGCAATTTAACACCTATGAGGAGCTATTCTGCCTTAGGTATAGAGGTAGTGGCTCCCAAACTTCTGTGGCTTTGCCCACAAGCTTTCTGCATAGAAAATGAGACTAAATACAAAAATGAGACTAAAAACCTCAGAAGTAGTCTTTGTGTTTGCAGCAGACTAACTGGAGCAACCACAATAAAAGAAGAAAAATAAGAACCCAAGGATTTTCCTGTTTTACCTCAGGCCTCATCAGTGTCTTTACATGCACAACTTAAGGATGTCTGATGAGAAATTAACATCGCTACTACATTCTGGCAAAGAACTGCATATATACAATAACATTGGCAATGCCCCCGCAAGGGTCATTTCAGTTTACCTGTCACTTCATCTCATTTTTGGACTATTAACACTTCAGGGCAAAGACTGTCAGAGATTTCTTGCTGCACGATGGATAGCAAGGCAAGAGCCAAATCAGGTTCTGGTCCATCAACACTGCAGAAATAAATGATATAAGATTAAAGGCATTGACAAAGGAACAAATCCTAAACCAYGCCTATCAAATCAGGCAGTGACACCAAATGAAAACGTACACACGACATTACCTCCAAAACATACGTGCAGTTTTTATGAGTTATCAGACTCTGCCCTTTTAAAGACATCCTGCTGTTACTGAGCAGACTGCAGAAAAAGAGGAGAGGGAGCCCAAACCTTTTGCACTGAGGAAAGCAGGAGTACATTGCAGCAGCACTAATACTTACTGCTTATTTTCTTGGGTCTTTTAACATGGAGAACATTCACACCATAATCGGCCTATCATAATTAGTATTCTGCAAACAAGTTCATAGAAATATTAGCTCTACATTTTGCAGACAGAAGTATCCTGGATATTATACAGCTGTGAAACCAAGTACTAAAATCCAGTCATCAACAAAAATTTTAGCCATCATCATTGACAGGACAATGCTTTAGTTGTCTTGGTTCCAAGGCTAAGGTACACTAAAGTGGCCTAAGAGTCTTGGGTTCAGCTGCAGTTTAGAACCACCTTGAACAGWACAGTGGCTGGCAGTGCCACCAAACTACCTCAGCATCTTCTCACCCCCTAGTGCTTGCTAATCTATAGGAGTCTTCTCATCTCCCCTCTGGCCATCATTACAATGCCAAGTCTATAAGTTTGAAACACACAAAAGCTTGAAAAACATGGAAGAATCTCCTCAAAAAGTCTGATGGAAAGGTGAAGGGAGATTTTTCCCAAAAGGGAAAATACATTCTTCTGGATGCGCAGACCACACTCCATATCCTCCAGAAGATGATACCAAAAACAATTCAGTGGCTTTTGACATGCCATCGAAAGATGCAGCTACTCAGGTAATCTTCACATAAAAATGACTAAGTCTTTTTAAGTCTTCCCACTTATATAAAAATAATTAAATAAAACCAGCTTATAAATTTATCAGGTCTTGGCTAGTTCTACAATATAYGAGTGTGAAGCTGTGAAATTGTTATCCTGAGGCTGCAGATTCAGCAAGTTTCCTATAGCTTCCTTGGCCAAAAGTCTCCAAAAATAAAAACCACCACTACCCGTGACAAGAGCTCCATCAAGTGGCCAAACACAACTGTATCTTCTATCGCATCCTGCAATCAAAGCACAAAGCAGCCATTGAAAAAACACAGAACTTTCTGCCCTAACTCAGCCCTATTCACAAACATAACAGGAAAGAGGCTTCCTTCCTTTACAAGGAGAGGAGCAGCAAGGCTCAAGAAGCAGAAGGCATCACAAACAGCCTCTTTAAGGCAGCTTGTTCTTGCACACAGCTCCAGTGAGCCATACAAKAAAGGTGTCCAACCATTTCTCCATTAATAATTAACCCCATTAATATATTTTCTACTTAAAAAAATAAAGGTGTTTTCCATTTTTAAAAAAGTCAGAGCAAAGCCACACACTCCCTCCAAGACAGAGGGCATATCTTAGTGGGCAGAATATACTTATCTTCCTTTTTAATAGCATASGTGGTATGTAAAGTCAATAAATAAGAAGGGTACTCACAAACAGCAGGAAGTTCAAGGGTGTTGTCCATACACACACTCTGGGTGTTCAAATGCCTGAGCTTGCAAGAGGCATTTTCATCCTAGTGCTGATACGGAGCCTTCTTGCACCTGTGTGACAGCTCAACCAGACAATCCATCTTAGAATTCCTGCTCCTGGAAAGTGACCTCATGTCCAAGTGATAAGCTGCATTCGTACTGCCTGCCTCAGCAACTCCAAGCTACTCCCTGATCTATGCAGGTTTCCTAGAGCAAAGCTCTAGTGAGAGTCAGCTCAGTTCACACTGCATCAGGACCACAAGGCAAGGCCTGGRCACTGTTCAGTGCCAGTCTAGGGTGGCATCGAATCTTCCTTATGAAGAAGGAAGTAGCATGAGGAACAGGGAAAGTACGGACAGAGCACAGTGAGAAACTGTTAAATTTGTTGGACATCATTTCAATGACCATCTAGAGCCTAAGTTTACCTCTCAGAACGCAGAGGACTGTGCTCTCTCTGGTCCAAATAGGAGCTTAGCATGCAGGTAGTGGTTTAGAGCCACGCAGAGGACACTCATATAAAAAGGGACAAAAAGTTAAACCTGAAGTTCTACATAGGTTAGTATGGTCAGATTAGAATCAGATTCTGCCCTAGTTTTTTAACGACCAATAAAATCAGTTGTATTATGTATTATGAACAAATCTGCTATTAAAAACACAAGACAGGGAATAAGAGATTTGACAGTTGTTAGTCTAACAGCCTGAAAAGGTTTTCCTTCAAAGTTGCTTATGATTAAAAAAGGAACAAGGCATCTCCTCACACCTAAACATTGTACTAAAAGGAAGAGGTGGGGAGAGAAACAGATTAATAAAACAAATTGAGTAGCACCAATAAAACAAAAGAGCTAAGAATTTTACTGAAGAGCAAAGGATCAAGTTGAGACCTGCAACAAAACATTTGCAGTAAGACAGGCAACTGAAATGAGTTAACGCCAAATGCACTGGAGAAGGTGAGACAGCACATGTGCATATACTTGTGCCTGCAAGATTCCAAAACACACAGCTTTTTAAAAGTATGAAACAGTGCCACTTCCCACAGGACTAGTTTCTCCATTGTTTGCAGAATATGGTTAGCAATCGAATATTTGAACCAGACCAGAAAGCCCTGCAGCACAATCACTGCACTGCAAATGGTTACAAGCTGCAGACAAGAAGCATTTTACCATATATAATCCTGTGGAACTACAAGCTTAAACAATGTTATGCCAAGTTGTAGAGCAGCACCTGAGCCACCATTAATTTCACATGTTACTGCTGCATGGAGCTCTTCTAAAGCCTGATATCACAGTCCCAGAAATGAATTCAAGACATTCAAGCATACTAGGTTAATGAAACTAAACCCTGCTCTCAAAGTGTGTGGCAGAGGCAATTTCTAAGTCTTCACTCACAAAATGAGCTTTGAACAAATTACCACCTTGCCACATTTGAGGAAAAAGTACAAAAAATAAGAACTACACAACACCACACATTATGTTGCATTACACAGAATAGTTACCTACTACTCAGACTACTTCATGGAAATGGGAAAGCTGCACAAGAAAATGTACTAGTTAAATATTTGCTATGTAACACAGAGTACATATCACGTGCTGTAAAGCAGAGGAAGAACAAAAAACACAACAGAGACACACATATCTTACACAAAGACCTAAGGCAGTACAACGCCTCAATAAAAAGAGCTTTTAAAGCTACGATCACCTACTGTTTCTAACTCTTATTTACCAGAAAAATTGACTACTTAACCAAAACTGAAAAGAGAATATCTACACAATCTTGAAAAGCAACTCCTCCTTCATTATAAAATACCTTTTATTAATAGCCATTGTTATAAACGTAAAAACCAAGTTTTATTTTTCAGTTAGAATATTACGCCAAGTAAAAAACAGTCAGCTGAGAAAGGGGAGAGAAAAATATAATAGAGAAATAGAGTTACATATCCTTATATCAGCCATTTTTAAAAATAACATTTCATAATAACTCTAATAATCAAAAACATTTCCAAAGCAGTCTAGCAAGTATTTAGGAGCACTGCAAGCTAGTGCCCCAAACAGAGACTTGCCTTAAATTTGTACACAAGTGCTCACTACTACCTTGGGCAGAATCAATGAGTTGAAGCTTCTAGAGACACTGCAATATTAACTAAAGTGACACTCTTGGGAGTTTCCAGGGTCACAAATGTTACGAAGAAAGCAAGCTAGTGTTTACAAGGAAGACACTACTGCTTCATCAGAATTTTATCATAATTGAAAAATAGAAGCAAAATATATTACAGACTGAGTTTGAACAGTGGATCTTGTCAGAACAAAGCCAGGTCTCACAGACCAAAGTCACAGGTCATCAAGATCAACATTTACAAAACAATTTCTGCAAAAGCAAAATTCCTTTTAAATGAACGGAATTCCTTCTAAGTGGAAAGAACATGGTGTAAGAGAGGTTTGCATTCTTATGTCTAACACCAGATATTAACCTAAACAATACAAACTGGTTGAACCAAGACTTCTAAGATTAGCTAGCTGACAACACCAGATCTGCCTAAACACGACATGGTTTTGAGAAAGTTCCTTTTGCCTCAAGTAATCCGTCCTACACAAAGCATAAGCTCTCAAGTTTGAAGACAAGCAAGAGCACAATCCAAATGCAGTAATATGAAGATATGCTTAAGAATTACTTCCAGGAATCTGAATTTTAAGTAGCTCCTCCTTCAGTTCAGCAATTTTATCTTCTCTTGCAGCTGCATAACTGTTTACCTTCTTTATGAGAGAGTCATGACACTTCTCCAAACTAGCCTTCAAATTAAGATATATCTCCTAGAAAGGGAAGTTAGAGGAAGAAAAGAAAATAATCAAACAAAAACTTCTCTTAGGTTTGCAAAGTCCAGTTCTATGGGCTGGTAGGCACAAACACCACTGCCTCCATGGAACCAGAAGCAGAAAACATCCTCCCTCCAACTATCCACAACCTACCACCCACACAGCTTACTGCGTCTGTAAGGCCTCACACACACAACTCACCTTGACATCCATTTCTTCTTTTTCAGCATTCTCATTCAACTGCTCAATTTTGAATCTTATCTGTTGGATCTCCTTGTGAATTGCAGTCACTTTTTCATATACAGCCCCCCTCTTTTCCTGAACTCTGTTACAATACCTAAAGGAGAAGAGTTACAAAAGTTAGTGCTAAGCCATTCAACTGATTCAACATTAAATAACTTCACATGTACAGCTTGCATCTTACAAACATGAAACGAACAGTTCTACAGCCAATCCCATACAAAATTTACTTGCCTTACAAGCACAACTAAACAGATTTGCTCCCATCACTGTCAGAGAGCTTGTCTCAGGCCCCAAAATGTAGTTTTGCTTAGCTAACAAAAAAATTAAGGGAAATTACAAGAATTACAAGTATATGATGAAGATGTCCTGTTGTTGTCAGTCAAGGCAGCTCAGATGACTCCAGTAAAACTACCTGAGCTCAAACCAGCAGCCTGCTGGGCACAACCATCCTGCCTCTGATTAGTACCTCAGTGGAGAGCCATGCCCAAAGATCAACAACCCACCAGACCAGATGTTGTATGGGTGCACTTCCCATTTGGGTATAGCTTAAGTCACACTTCCACCTCAGGCTCAATCAAAGCAGATTTAAGTCACAGCTCCAATCTCAACCACCAGTGTTACATGCAACTTCAAGTCTATCCTTTCCCTACATCTCAAACATAAGGATTATGTCAAGCATCTTAAATTCCCAGTCTTCCCAATCCACACAATCTTTAACTCTCAAGCCCTGTGAAAGCATTGAGCCACAGGTCAGAGATGCATACCAATACCTGAAGTTTCCTACATAAAGTAGATAATTAATTACACACTTCTGGCAGAGAGGAACTGTTCCTGCACAGAACCCACACTGACAGCAAACACATCTTCCCCATGCCCATTCAGGCATGACATAAGCTCTTGCAGCTACCAAGGACTATCATAACTCTCAACAACTTCCAATTCTTTGTCAGAAGACACCCTCAACCTCATCGCTAATCCACAACACACTAATTGCTACATATGCACACACTTGATCTCCTTGCAGGAGGAAAGAACCCCAGGATGATCACACTCTCCAATACCGCATTAAATATTTAAATAGTATACTAAACATAGTGTGGCAGAACAGAAAAATCCTTAGGCCAAGTTTATAATATAATGGCAGTTAGGCACTATGATGGTCAGTAATTCATTTCCCCGCTCCTAAACCAGCTGGGAAATCTGCTTGTTTCTCTCCCACTGATTACAGAGAAAGCAAAGAAAAGTGAGGATTTGAAAGTTCTGACCTGACAGACCCCACATTTCCTGTGACATGGAGCTTGCATCTTAGAATCACAGCAAAGCAGAGCCAATAACACCGCTCTAACTTGCAGATAAATTCTGACAGCTTCAACTGAGTTGCCATGTAATCATGCAAGGGACTAGGCTAGGAGCAAGAAGTCTTGCTCCTAGCTTAATCTCCTAAACCAAGACCAACTTATCAAGAGGATTTGTATAATTACAGATGGAATAATTTATATTATACATTTGTGTAATAGTTATAGTTCCATTATAAATTGAACCGTAGCAGCAGTTTTAGATAAAAAAAGACTGGAATATCTTTTTTCCAGGTTTAACCTATTTATACCTTTCTGCCTTGAGGCAAAAAGTTGGTCTTATTAGTCGATGAAAACTTCAAGTCAGGGTTACCTCCCATCTCTTCCTTCTTACCAAAATTCCTGATTCTAGCATTCCAGGAAAGTAATCTAGTATATCAAACAATGGATAAGCAGGCAACCACTTCCATAATAGTGTCAAGAATTGAATTATGCAGCAATTTTTTCCTTCCAAGTTAGCTTTGCTGGTAAATACACTCCAAGGAACAAAGGACATCTGTTATCTGCATACAACCAAAGCCTGTCAGCAGAACTAAGGTTTAGTCACCTTAGCCATACAGAAAGCAAGCTCTCCTCCATCCCGCTTTGCCTACTCAGTCAATAGTTTTCCATAATTCCTTTATATTTTTCAGTATATGAAAACTGTTTTTAATAAACTTTAGCGATTACATTTCAATACTTCTAATCTCACAGTGACACCATGACCTTACACTGACAATACTACAATTGGCTACTGCAGTCACTTCTGTGCTGTAAATATTGCCTCATGACTTGCCTTTAGCTAAAGCAGGAAGGAAGATGGGCTGAAAGGCTTTGATCAAATGACACTTTTCCTTTTGTTTTAGAAGCATCATGTCAGGATAATACTCCTCTGAGATACAAACCCCATTTCCCCATAGGTCTTGAACATCTTTGATAATGAGCAAAAGTGGCAAGGGAAATTATGAAAAATTCATGAGAGGCAAATGGGGCTTTGTTGAAGTCTGATAAGTTGGAAAATTATCCCAATGTGACATTCTCTTTAAGAAGATAAAAGAATCAAGAATAAGCATTATAAATTAAATTAGTAATCCAATAGAAGAATTGCTGTCAAGTCACATTGCAATTATTGATTTGAGACCCCAAGTCCCTGCCTACAGCATTTTTGGTCTTCATACAAAGCTATCCCACATCACTCTTTCTTCTTATTGCTAAGCTATGTATTTGTACCAGACACGAACTTTGGTAGCACATAACCATGTAAGTAGCATTAGGCAGAAATGTCAACGCATCCATACTCAAATATAGTGTGCTTGTATTGCTCAACATCTTCACGCTTCTTTTTTATCCTTATTTCAGTTGTAGAAAGCTTCTCCTGCTTTGCAGTAACCAGTCGCTTTAAGGACATTTCATCCGTCTTGCCTTTTTTCAGCTCTATCTGAGCACTTTCAAACTGATCTTCTAGATTTCTGACCTACAGTATGTAAAAAGTGTTTTAAAAAAAGTGGAGAACAACTTTAACGCAATATACCCTATTAGAAATTTATTAAAATTTTAGCTGGCTTCTTACTTTTAAAGAGTTCTGATTGCTAACTAAAGTCTTCCTACAAAATCCAAATCCAATCACTAGCCTGAGTGGTTAAGACCACACCAATTAGTATGACTTAGAGTAACTACTACATTCTGCTATAGTTCTTAGCCAAAAATAATTGCACACATGCTGTAGAAATATCCAGAAAGACCATATATCATTTTTCAAATCTTAATTATCACATTTTCCCAAGACTAAACAGTAATTAGCAAGATACTGTATTGTGACAAACACTTCATCAGTGCAAGACTGGCTTGGTAACATCAGTAAGATTAGACACATTTAAAGCATGACTGTCCTTGAAGCGGTTATTTGTGCTCTTAGTTTCTACATTATAGGTAGAAGAGACTTAACCTCACATTTTTTTCCTTGTCCATTACTTCCTACCGACAACCCTAATACAGTTCAAACTATTTTAGGTCAAGTTTCTGTGGCAAGGAGACGTTGAGTATTTAAGATGGTCAAGAGTACATTAGCTTTATAGCTGTTGGTTTGCTGCACATTACTTCTAATACTTCAACTGAGATTCTCAAGTTACCAGAATTCTTTTGGGAATGGAGGTGAGATGGGAGCTTGCAGAATACAGATGCTTACTGATGATCTCCTGTCTTGCTTTGATATTGAACTCCCCTTAAGTAGATAAAGTTACTGTAATACAAACCTCTGCCACTACACTGGCCAGTCTCTCCATATTGGCTACCTGTCTTTCCATTTTCTTTTGGTACAACTGCACCTCCAATTGGCACGATGGAAGAATCTCAACAAGGTCTCGATAACCTTCATAATTCTCTATAACCTCTTGCTAGAGAAAAAAAGACAAAACAAAGCTCAACGAAGAACAGCATCAAAGTCGAAGGTTATTTTGTATGGATATTAACGCACAATTTTATGCCCATTACCTCACTCTCATTCTACTATTGGACATGGGAGTTAAATACAGTTTTTGCCCTAATAGGTTTTCAATTTATAGACAAAAGCATTTAATCTGGAAAAGCAAAAAAAATGAGGGTGTTGTATGCTGAACTCGAGTTGTTATAAGAAAATATGAAAAGAAAAAAGCTACACAGTGGAGAAATTCCATACTGATAAAACAGTGATGACACAAAAACAGATGTCTGGAATGACAGCAATAGAAGTTCCATCTCTTGGAACAAGATTACCTAGGGAGAGAAAGTTCAGCAAGTTTTACTGATGTATGAGCAATGATGAAAAACATTTAAATATTGGACATCGCTGTGAAAAAGGCACAACTAGAAGGAATTCAAGAAGATATTCAGCACACTAGTAGAGACAGTCATAAATTGCAGAACTAGTGAGCGAGTGCACAGATCTCATGAAGCATCTGTTCTAGAGTCCAGAATATTTGTGAGCTGCCAAAATAATGTCGTCTCTTGAGAGCATGCAGCTAGGAAGGTTTAGAATTCTACCTCCAGTTTTGAAAATAAACCATTATTCGTTACAGAAAAGGCACAAGTGATTGCAAGATTGCTTTTCCGGAAGAAAAAAATAAAACAAACACCTCCCCTTCATACACCCAAGATAGCAAACCGATAATCCTATGAAAATAATCTTCAATTCTCTCTGAAGCTATGATGAAGAATTTAACTCCAGTCTAACCAACTGCTGACTTTTGTCTAGAAATAAGTCAATATATTACGCCAAAAGAATAAGCCATTCTCTGATGCAACGCCGCCTTATGCAGGAAGAAAACTCACCTTAGATTTCTTGAGTTTCTTAACAGTTTCTTTCATTATCTCTTTGTAGTTTTTCACTTCCTCTGGACTCTCTACGATTTTTGATTTCAGCTGCTCTTGTTCTTCTTTCAAAGAAGCCATTATCACTTTGAGTTCATTCTAGTGAAAACAAGGGCTTTTGCTATTAGTAATCTAAGCAGAGCTATGAGACCTAGTTTGTCAGTCTTATGACTAGACAATATTCTGTATGCTGTAATCTATTCTTTCAATAGAAAATTTGCTTTAGAAACAAAAATTACTCTAAATACTGTCAATATTACAAAGTAAAACCATTAACAGCCTATATTTTTCCTGCCTAAACAGGCTTACAATGGTGCAGTACTAAGTTGCAAGAACATCCTTCTAAAAGCCTGCCAGCTAATACATATGACTGGCAGCTCTCCTTCAGGATCACTCTTAGGGCAACTCAGAAAATCACTGCAGGGTTTCAAAGCCCACGGCATTATCCAGTAGAAGAGCAGCACACTTCCTGTGCAGTCTCCCAAGCTCCCAACTTCTCACCATCAGGTCAGTGTATACCTCCATTAGCCCCTCTAAGTATGTAAAAGAAGTCTGAAGCTTCCTGGCATTTCAGATTTATTGTCCATTTACAGATCAGCCTCCTGAATAAACTCAGAGCTTTAAGCTGCAGAGACACGCATTTAAATTTAGTCAATAAAGTTTCCAGGTGAAAAGTGAAGCTGAAGCAGTTTAAAAAAAAAAGCTAAAAAACATCTCTTGAACTATTACATTACCCAGCTATAAAAATAATCTTAAAGATAGAAAGATGATAAATTAGCTGCTTTGGAATTTAAGGTACAGTCTATATGAAGATACACTTACCAGTTTTCGGGTCCTCTCTGCAATATCTGACTTCTTCTGTGAGATCACTTCTTGTAAACCTGTCTAAAAAAAATAAAACCACCTCTTACTCTTTTTCTACTAGATTTCTGTCTACAGAAGAGACAATTGCTCTAGCATGGGTTAACACTCTTTCAGGGGAAGCACTACATTACTCGAGACTAGCTTAGTGTAATGTAGCACATCTCATTGCTAATTAAAGCTCACTGCGGATTTCTTTGGAGTTTCACAACTAGCAGACAAAACAGCAGTCAATATAAAGCTGAAATAGAGAGGTAAAGCATTATTGAAAAGCCATTGGGAGCATTAGGAATGCAGGCAGCAGTTGGCAATTTTGAAAAGAGATAAGAGATGGTGCCAGTTTATTAAAGCTCTCTCCAGCGGGGTGGGCAGATAGAGCAGAAAACAGGAACAGTGCCCAAAGTTCCCCAAAAGCCTGGGTACCACGTGCTCCCTTCTTTGCACTGCCCTGTGCACAAACCTCTGCCAGAGGCATTGTTTTTACTTGGACAAGACCTACATTAAAAATACATAAAGTCCCCAGTAAAAAGTGGGTGAAACAGTAACAGCAAAGACATAGCTTAAGATAGCTTAAAGTATCACTTTTCCCCATCAACACTCCCTTTGCTCTTTTTCAAGGGTTTTCCCTCAAGTAACCCTTCTTGAGCCTCAGTTGATTTCCCAACATAGCTCATCCTCAGTTCCACTTTAATCCTTCAAATTCATTTACAAAACAAAACAAGTTTAACTTCGAAACACACATTTTCAAAACAGGTATCTTATCAAATATAAAGCGAAAAGTCTGATTCCAAGTACATTTCACATTCTTTACAAATAAAGAGTTGGTTGTAAGGAATTAGAAGGATATAGTGTTCTAATGAGTTTTTTTTTAAATCAAGAGCCTTCCTTATTTTCGCAGAATTAGGGAAAGGAGACAAAACAGCAAGAGTAAGGAGCTATGGCAGTGTTTCACAGGAACAGGTAAGGAGAACATACCGCTTTCCGACGATAGTCATTGTTTAGCAGTTGCTGCAACTCCTGAATGTCATCAGACAGCTGCCTGAATTCTGCCTGCTGTTCTACTGGAACAGTGCTAGGCAAAAATAAATAAATAAAATTTAATATTGAACTGTCCAATACATTTTTAGTGAGGTTGATAGACTGTTTTATTCTCAAGACTAAAAAAAATTCTCAGAAGCTAAGACTATCAAAGAAAGATGGTCTCCAATTAGTAAGTTATATTGTTTGGTTTAGAATATTTTATGCATAGTTTAAGGAACTATTGTAAACAGAGGTAGTAAGAAAATAAGAGTGAGAATTACAAATTTAAATAACATCAAATAAAGCCAAGTACCAAAGAAAAACACTTTTACCAACTTGGATTTACAAGTTTTGCCTAATGGAATATGCCTTATAAATCTTCTATTAGGGTAGACCCTATAGCTAGCTGGAAGGTCTCCTGTCTAACAAAGACAGGCTAGCTAAAGACAGGCCAAAAAAAGCTAATAGAAGCTCATTTTTGGTTTTGGAAGTAACCTAGAAAAGTAACCATCTCTTCAACCAATTATCTATGAGCAAAACAAAACTTGTTAGCACAAAGACATGGATAGCAGCACTAAATAACCTAAAACTGAGAGGTGGAAAACATGCCCAATAACAGACAAATTCATCCCTCTAAATGGAGGCATACCATAAATACTGAAAGAACCAAGGAAGCTCAACCACATTCTCCAAGACACAAAAGACAACACCCTCAAAACAACCATGCACTCACCAAGTCGTATTTTTTATTTTCTAGACAACAGCTCCTCTAACCTAGCACCAGAAAAGTCTACTCAATAAACAGGAATAGCTTTTTACTTCCTGGCTCATTTCCCAAGAAGGCTGAACAAAAAAGCCAGTCAAGTATCATAGGAAAAGTTGAGTCTCATCAAACTAAAAACTTTTAAACAGACTTGGAAGAATAGCCTTAAGTACAAAAAAAATATTACTCCATTTTCAGAATCAAATTAAAAAGCTTGTGGGTGTATATGGTGAGAACAGGTCATGAGGCAAGGAAGAGAAGCTAGGCAATTTGAAGAAAATTTTGACCAAAGCACTATGTTTCATGGTCATTAACCAAATTTAAGTACTGTCTTAACTTACTGCCTTTGCACAGAGCCTGCCCTTCACAGCAAACAAGTCACACACACAAACTGACACATATTACTGAAAGCAAGTACTTTTCTTCTAGTCCAAGAGGAACTTTTACTTTATCTGCAACAGRCGATGGGGGAAATGTCTGAGCACTGAGGGCTGGCCAATACCAAGATCAAGTTTGGAGGAGCCTGTGGTTATCAGTCAGTTCTGATAAACCACACTGCTCAACTATTCACCTCCAACATATCTGCAGGACTGCTAGCCAAGGCAGTTAGTGCTCATACTCACTTCAGCTTCTCCAGCTTTGCTGCTGCCTCTTGATTTGCTGTCTCTAGTTGTTGTAGTTTCTCCATAGCTGATTTCTGCAAGTTAATTGCACAGAGATGTTTTTATCTTGGGAGAATATGGTTTATACTTTGAGTTCTCTCAGAGCTCTGCAAACCATGTACTCCACTTGAAATATGCCATATCTCTATACCACTGAGATATTCAAAAGGTAACTGCTGGCAGTTTTAGATTCGGTCCAATGACCAATGTTATTTCTCAAAAATGATTCAATGCATTCAAATCTCTACTTCCAAGGTTCAATTATCAAATAAATAATTGGAAAAATAATCAGATTAAACTATTTAAGTAGTTTGGCTATTGTACCATATAGAAATCTTTACCATTACCAATCACCAAGCCCAAATACTCTTTAGAGAGACACACATTTTTCTGACAGAGATGAAATAGTCTGGAATTAAAAGAAATTTCTAAACTAATATGCTTCTTTCCTTAAGGCTATTTCAGAAAGTCTTCCTTAAAGCTTTTACAGTAGCTGTGTTTGTTCATAACTTGTAAAGATTTACCTATATTAAACTGGCACCTTTACATATTACATGCCTACCATGGAGACTCCAACATGTTTTTAAAACTTACAACAGAAAGACACCTCTATTTATAGACTAAGGTTAATATTAATTATATTTAAACAAGTATCAGGTGTAATATGGCACYTCATCTTACATAGTTCGATTGTAATTCCAGGTAGATTCCACGTCGCGATTCTCTGAAGTGTATGAAGTTGAGAATGCCACTGAAGAAGCGAGTTGTCCTCTTTGCTTCTGAAATTGGAATTACAAGTCATCACTATTTTATTCTCCACATGCATCACAATTGCTTAGAACAAGTTGGGTAATTAATTCAAAGAGAAGGAAACCTACAAAAACAGGGCTCATCTTCCTCTGACACCAATTTTGGAAAGTTTTGCCTATTACTAACTACATAAAAACAAGCACTAAGGTATGAACTTACAGTGCTTTAATGATTCTGTGCATTTCAACAAATAGAAAAGCGCATGTAGAGGAAAGACTTAAAATACAGGTGTTATTTTAAATAAATCAAAAGAGAGATGTCCAATCAAACTCTGAGGAAGATTACTAGAGGTCTCAAATGTCTTAGATAAGACAGACCAAGAAGTGAGAGTTCTTCAAATAGTTTTTCCTAAGTTTCTTATCACATCAAAATCACTACAACTAGGAACTGGAAAGGCAGAAGAGCAAATTTGAGAACTATTTCCTATAGAGGTATTTGCACAAAAAAAGCCATTTATTTTTACACCATTTTAAGAGTGTCACAGTTTGGTCTCCAAACTAGCAGTAGCATAGACTTGTAACACTCAAAACACACCACATAAATTATTTAACTGAATTAGCTTACATAAGGAGGAAGTTGAAGAATTGTTCATTTGAACCAGCTTGTCTAAAGACCAAAGATCAAAGTAGTAGCTGGTAGCCATGATTAGTTCTGAACACCAGACATTCATCTGACTAAGCCAAGTCAGAAAGAAAGCAGACTGTGACACCCCCTTGCCCCCCTCCCAACCCTCAGCACACATACCCCAACAGGATATGGAAGAGCACAAGCACTTGCTTACTTGGGTTTATAACATCAGCAATTTGAAAGTCATGAATACAGCACACTGGAAGAAAGCGCTCCCTGTAAGGAAACAAAGTAAAGACTTATCTGCACTGTCCTTGCACTATAGATGTTCACTGGAAATGCACTCAACAATCAGACTGCATGTACAAATTCATGTCAAAAACACTGTAGTCTTACAGTACTCCACAGGGACAAACAAAATAGACTTTTACTGAACAAACTTTCAAGTTAGTTCAGCTTTAACAAAACCCTCTGTTTAGCTGAGTCCACTCTCTCCTTAAATCTAAAGAAAAAAGGTTTAAAGTCTAATGCTCATAGCACAAAGCAGTGGCTGTAATTCAAATATGTTTATATAAAAGGTGCTTAAGATTCCTTTCTTGGTATGATGAAGCCTTGGACATCCAGAATAGAGCCAAGTGCTCCAATTTCCTCCCTTCCCCCCCCCACACCACACACACCCCCCCACACACACTCTRACTTAAGTCACTAATCCAGCCTTCCAATTATCACAGTAAAAGCACTTATTTAGATCAAAGACAACTGTCAAGAATTTTACTCAGTTACAGCCTTGCTTCTTGCTCATCTGCAAATTTTACTTTGCTCAAAACTAGAGAGCAGTGAAACTACTCAAACATAAATAAAAGCCTCACCATCCCTAAACTGGAACTTTAGAAGGAATACAAAATATCAGATAAAGTCTTGTACTTACATGTGAATATACAAGTTACAAACAGGTAGAAAGCCTTCAAATATTTGTGGGTACATTATTTCAACGTTGACTGGCATCTAAACAGTAAGGAGAGCAGAGTGAATACACAGGCACAGCATAAATATAGGAAAATACACGAGTTTGTTCCCACAAAATAAGATCCTTCAGACAGGTTAAATACACAGATAATGGTCTCCACATCCCTGGGAAATACAAGCTAGTGGGGATCTATCTTGGGAGCTTTCTCCAGGGCCAAAAGAAGAGACCAAGATAAGGCAGAAAAAAAAGAGAAAAACTTAATCTATTATTTGCCTCACATATTTCATTATAGCTACCATTAACACATACCATGTAGAAATGCTCCAGGCGGACCCCATATACCTTCTGCAGGATTCTCATGAAAAGCATGTGCAAGACTTCAGGCTGCAAGGTAAATAACACACATCAACAGCTCACCTACATTACTCAGGGCTCCCAAACAACACCATAAAAACAGCCCAGTCTTTAACCCATCGAGTCAAGAAAACAGAAAACTCTTGCTTCCCAACACTGAGTAATCTCCTGATATATTATTGTTGTGTCTTATGAAATGCAGCAATCACCTGAGGCAGATGTGGACCTAATCATCACATCCGTGTCATATATTTCATTCTTTTCCTCGACACACAGTAGCTTACACAGCAAGCAACACCGAAAACTACCAGAAAACTAGCAGAAGCACAGACACAGCAATTCTAGTGCAGAATAAGTGTAATAGTTTTTAATAACTATTGGAAAAAGAACTCAGCTCAGAAAGCCGCCCACACGCACCTTGGGGTTGGGGAAGAGGTCGCCCTTGGTGAGGTTGCGCGCCTCGGAGCCGGTCAGCACGTGGCAGCGGAGGTAGGTGATGATCTCGGCGGGGCTGTAGCGGGGGAACGTGAGCATCTCCATGGCGGCCTCCGAGCGCCCGCGCCAACGGCCGCGCCCGCGCCGCCCGCTTGAATTTAGCGGGCGCCGCCCCCCGCCCCTGACATCACTTCCTCTGCAGGCCCAACGGCCACTCGGGCAGCGCCACGCCCCGATCTGCCCCGCAACGGCTGCCTGGGGGAGGGGCTTCCCCGGGCCCCGCCCCTCGCGGACCGTTGGCCGCTGTGAGGCGGCGGGGGCGGCCCTGGCCCTGGAGCGAATCCGAATCCGAATCCGAATCCTCGTCATGCCCCTGCTGTCCCGGGGCCCGCGGCCAGGCGCACCCCAGCACCCGGCCTCACTCGGAGGGTCCTTTCGGGAGCTCCTCACCAAAGAGCCCTGGCAGCCACTTCTGTGAGCGCAGGGCAGCTGGTCCCGCAGCCCGAGCACTGCTCCCAGCAAGGCTCTTCCTTTTCCCCAGGACACAGCACTGTCCAGGACTTTCACACTGAGGTTAAAGTACGCTCAGATAGAAAGTAGAAACAGAAGTGATGCAAGGTCTGGAGCTCTCATCTAGTTCCTCAGAGCTACCCCAGCCCTACATAAATGCCTCTTTATTCATCATCTTGCTARTGCTGCCCAAGAGGTGGGTGCCACACAGTTTTACAATTACCCAACCAGCTCCTTGGCACTTCACTTTTGAGATGGAAACATGGTCACATCCCCCAGGTACATGGATTCCTTCGTGAGGTCCCTCAAAGAAGAGCTGCCTGTTCCCACCACAGGCGGCTTTATTCATCTCCCTGGATCATCCCCTTCCAACAGATTCTGCTCTTCTGGAGCTAATCCACCAACTACCCACATGCAGGAGTCCTCAGTTCCATGTGGGCAAGGTGCATTTGTGGCACACCATGTCATCGAGGCCAGCTGACAAYCAGGACAATCTCCAGACCAACATGTTCACCTTGCTTGCACATCACTCTCCAAAGGGTATGTGCTAGGAGGAGATACAGTTCCTGCCAGATAGGCTCATAGTGCACTGAGACACACACATTTGGCACGTGCAGAAACTACAGTCCTGTACCATGCTGAGCACCACGCTGGCCCACGCAGGGTGCTGCGTCCCAATGATCGCACAGAGGACAAGTCACAAAGGGAGGGGACAGTAGCGGRGCACCCTCGGGCTTTGGCCCTGCAGCTCTGTGGCTCCCCAGCAGCACGGCCTGGGCCAGCCCCGGATGCTGCAGCTTCTGCAGGGTGAGTGCAGCAGTGGGGCAAGGCGGTGCAAGAGKAGAGCTGGGCACCAACTCCATCTCCTTTTCCACTGCTGCAGCCGAGCCRCATAGAGCAGTGCTCGGGCTCAGGGGTGTTGGCGCCCGCAGGGCTGGGGGCAGAGCTGCCTGTGGACGCGGTGTTGGGGATGTGGTGGGCACTCGCAGCTCTGCAGCCACCATTCCCCTGCAGGAGCACTGTCCTGCTGYGGACACTTGTCCTTTCTGCAGCCCTGTCCCTATGGCAAAGCCTGGCTGGGGTGCCGGTCTCAGGGCAGGCTTGTCAGGATGGGCCCCACAGCGCTGGCGTCCCCTTGGAGCCTGTGGGCACCAGAGCCCAAGAACTTCCCATGTGGCTGCCCAGCCCCACTCAGACAGTGCTCACCAACCCCATCCTGGCTGCATCCCAGCTCCCTGGTCCCCCCTTCTGTCCTGCCCCTTTCTTCCTGCAGCTCCTGACACCCATCCATAAGTTCCCTGCCAGCCAGTGTAGCTCACCCACTTCTCCCATCTCCTCTAGGCCATGGCTGCAGCTCTTGCGCTTGTCCTGGCCATGCTGGGCACTATCCTGCAGCTGCTGAATATCAGTGACCATGTGGATGTGGGCACTGTCCTGCAGCCACTGAATATCAGTGACCACATGGATGTTGGCATGGTACTGCAGCTACCAGATATCAGTGACTATGTGGACATGGGCATGGTCCTGCAGCTGCCAAGTATCAGTGAGGACATGGATGTGGGCACGGTCCTGCAGCTGCTCAGTATCAGTGAGCAGGTGGACGTGGAGCAGCAGATGCAGCAGCATGAGGAGCAGATGAGTCATCTCCTGACTCTGCAGGAGCTGGCGACGATGATGCAGGACGCACCGAGCGCGCTGTTCAAGAGGGACGTGGTCTTTGCCACCTGGGACTTGTGGCAGCTTGGGGCCTTTGCTGGAGGCCTTGTGCTGCTCTTGGGGCTCTTCTGGATGTCCCCAAGGCAGGAGAACGGCTCGGRCAAGGGCAGTGGCACCGAGGAGGAGGAGGTGGCGGGCACTGCGCCCTCGCTCTCTCCTGAGCAGCAGCTGGACTCGCTGCACAGGAGGGCTCTAGAGAGCTTCTGCGAGCAGCAGCTGCGGGGCCCAGCGCGGGACRCGGCCCTCACGTGCCAGGCCGTGCGGGAGCTGGTGGACAACCTCCTCCACGCCTGCCACATGATCTCCCTGGCCACCTTCCTGCCGCGGCTGGAGCCCTGCRTCGGCGTGGGCAGCGCCTTCGAGGGCTGGGGCCACGGCGGCGAGGCCACCGCCTACAGGGTGCTCGTGCGCCTGAAGCCGCCACCCGGGCACTGCTTCCGCCTGCGGCCCGGCCCCGGCACGGAGCTGCCCGCSAGGCCCGGCCGCATCCGCGTGAAGCTGCAGTGCATGTGCTGGCGGGAGCAGCTGCTGGGGGACGTGCTGTGCTTCCGGCACCGCTCCTCCGAGCAGGTGCGCCGGCACCAGCGCCCCGGGCTCCTGCACATCCTGTGCACCGACTCCTACCTGGATGTGGAGAAAACGGCCCGCTGGTTGCAACTCTTTGTGCAGAATGCCTGGGACGTGATTGCTGAGCAGCAAAACTGCCAGCTGGCGGTGCTGCCTTCCTCCCGTTCCTGTCAGCTCCAGCTCACCTACGACTCTGGGAGGACCGTGCGCGTGGAGATGGTGCTGGAGGTGCAGCAAGATGAGCTGGGGGTCTTTGTGGGCAGCCAGGAAGCAGAGGGAGACCTGAGCAGCACAACGTGGCTGGAGAGCTGCGCCCTGCACGAGCTGCTCTTCTTCAGATGGGTGGCCAGGCAGGCCCCCCAGGGCAGCTGCCACCTGACGTGTCTGCAGCTCCTCACCTACCTCCTGGGGGACTCGGTGCTTTCCCCTGCCCACCTGAAAACGGCCACCATGCACCTCCTGACACTGCTGCCCCCGTCGGAGTGGTGCCCGCAGCACCTTGCCGAGCGCCTGAGGGATATCCTGCACTACCTGCACCGCTGCCTCGAGGAGAGGCAGCTTCACCACTTCCTCGTGGGCAACGCGCGGGTGCCCGGGGAGSTCGCGCTGCCCGCGGCCTTCCAGGCAGCCCGCCCGCTCAACCTCTTGCAGCGCCTGGCGCGGGAGCCGCAGGCGCAGGCGCTGCGCRAGCTCGCCCAGCTGCGCCATCGCCTGCAGAGCCTCTCGCGCTGACGCCAACGCAGTCACCTGCGCAAGGGCTGCCGAGGCGCAGGGGCTGCCGAGGCAGCGGCAGCGGGCCCCTGGATTTAGGGAACAATGAGTCCCTAAATGGGACCACTTAGGAAACATTGAGTCAAATCCTGCACCCTGCCTGATTCCGACCCTGCCTCCATCAGCCCCCTGCYAGTGATGCCGTCGTCTTTACCAGCGCTCCTGCACGCTCTGTAATTTAACCCTTTTCTTAAGGAATTAACTTGCATTAAATAAAGAATTAAAAAGAATTAAAGCAGAACGGGCTCTGTGCCGCTCTCTGCTGCTCCCGCTCCTCTTTCACGTCCCTCTTTCAGCTCTGTCACGGTTTTACACACAGTGGATTCCAATTGGCGGATCGAGACATCAATCTCGAAAAGCCCTCCCCTTTCTCATGCCAGCCAATAGGAGGCTGTCATGGACGCGGTGCCATGGCAACGTCGCGCCCTCCTCCGCCAGGGGACGGCGCCATCTTGTGGGCGGCAGGAGGGGACGTGAGGGGGCTCGGGGCAGCCCATCCAGAGGGGGGGTCGTAGCCATCCCGAGATGGCATCGTGGCGCCCAGAACAAGTTCGGTCAGCTAGAAGGCACAAGARGGGGAACGGAGGTTTTCCAAAAAAGAAAAAAAAAACTGATGCCTTAGATTTATTCCAAGGTGAAGGATCCATTTCCAGTAAAGGCATTTCCAGCAGGCTCCTGAGATCCCCACATTGTTGTCAGCCAACATCGGCTGCTGGGATGCAGGATCCAAGTCAAGCCAGAAACAGAGTCCAAAAGGAGAGCCACTCTCAGGGCATCCCAGCCCCCGAGCTCCTGTATGGATGGGGGCTCTGCACAGCCGGAGTCCTGACTGCCACAGTGCCTTGCGTGCCAGGCCAGGCTGTTTTCAGTCACAGCCCTGYACAGTCCTGCCCCAGGCAGCCTCACCGTGGCTGTTCAAACCTTGTGTTTAATCTCCCCTCAATGTATTTAACTCCTTCACTCAGCCTTGGATACAGAATGAAGCTCATTAACAGAAAAAGCCCTGATGAGTAACATCAAGCCCTGCATTCTTCTTCTGATGGTGTATGGCTAATTGGAGAAGTTTCTGGGATGTAGGTGAAAGGGAGAAAATTCAGTAATACACAAGTAGGTCTGCTTTTAAAGGGTATTTTTATTATTTAACCAGTAAACCGAGTTGGCAACAGCAAGAGAGCAGSCCCGAAGTCCTTTGTGCTCTCCCTGCAAGGCAGCAAGAATCCTTCCTTGAGCAGAGCTGCCTTTCCAGGTTACTGCTCGAGATGCCCGAGAGATTCCTTACCCAGGGCACAGCCCTAATAAGTGAAATGAGGGTGCTTCACTTGGCAAATTTTACTTAATTGTAACCAGGACTGACTGTGCGCATAATTCCTTAGACATAACCCTTGACCAAGTCTGGAACTAAGGTTAGATTCAGCTRCACCCAGGCTTCTCTTAGGAGGGGTTTAGAAAGCAAGGGGTCCCTATCTGAACCTCATGACTCAACRGCAGCATCTTCCCAGTAATTTTGTATAAACTTTATGCAATGAAGTGTCCTTACCATCGTACTGTCATGAAATAAAACACTGTCCCTATTAAGAAATAAATAGTAACATGWTTTATTAAGAGTGAGGTGCTTTGCATAACTCGCCCCCCCTCACCCACTCATTCCCTGACAGAAGTACAAGCAGAAAGTTCCCGATCAGCCCCCTCCCAGTTTCTGGAGCACCACAGACCGGGAGCAGGCTGGGCTGCGAAACTAGAGATCACAGGGTGGAAGTTGGTCAGTGATTGCCTCAAACACATTGGAGAAAAACCCCTCCAACCCTTGACTTCGTTAAGAAATAGCTCATCATCCTCTTTGATCATTGTCTTGTGTGAAGGTCAGCTTAAGCCTGGATCTTCTTCCCCTTTCCTGCTAAGGACCTCTTCCTCCTCCCCAGGATTGGTTCATTGCTCAATGACTGAGGACGGATCTTCATCTCAGTAAAAGGGATGGAGAACTCATGGCCCTTCCACGGCTCCCAGTTAACTCCCTGTGAACAGAACAAGGAACTTTCATTTATTAAAGCACCCAGATCAGGGGACAGGAGTCTACCTCTCCCTCTAATATTTTTTAATCTTCCCAGTAAACAGAGATGCTATTGCTTACCAGGTTCACTGTAACTATAGTTAGTCTTCCAGACAGTTCTACTACAAGTTAAGTCTCCACCCAGTTAGAGACTCAACAGAAGCAGAGCTCTCTCAAGCACAAAACACGCCTGTATGATGAGAAGCAAAGCATGGCACGCACTGACACCAAGGTGAATGCTATGTGAGGCAGTGAGCCCGTGTCCTGGCATGCCTCATAATGAGTGCTCTTTTCTGTTCCTCAGGGAAATCAGGGCAGCTCTATCTCAGGTTATCTCTACCCATCACAAAGACCACAGAGTATAATACCAAGGGATTTCCTTATGGATCATTTCCAATTCAATGAAGTGAAATATCCTGGGCAAACCCTCCTGCCGCAACCTCACTCCCATGTATAGTCCCAAGACCAAGGGAGAACAGCTACCAACTACAGAGCCTTGCCACTCACTTCGCTGTGCTTGTTCTCCCCATATTTCCCATTGAGGTTGGCCAAGTGGCAGTTCTTGTACCACCAAGCACCACGGTGTGTCAGAGCACAGTTGCTGAGGGCCACATCGTTGTCTCTGTCCCATGTTGTGAACTTCCAGCCATGGTGATAGGTCATTGCATCCCCTAAATGAAGAGATTCAAGGCATGAGCAGAAGTCAGAGACCACAGTTCCTTAGCCTGAGAGTTTATACTCCCTTCAAGCTAAACACAGTAGGCCTGTCAGAGAAAAAAAAAGCAGCAGCACAGGAAGAGTATAGGGAGCAATTTCTGAAAGGCTGCTGTAAGAATGCATGTCCAAGCCCTGAATTCCCTGAGGCTGAAGACCTACATGTATGGCAGTAGAGATGAAGCAGTTAAGTGGAAGACCATGGATGCAGAGAAACTATTAAGGATTTACCAGGGGCAGAAGCCAGTACCAAGATGGCTACTTTTGCTGAGCAAACTCACGAGTTTCTTCTCTTTTCTCAGCTGTGGAAGCCCAGCAGTCACTGCCTCTCTTTGCTGTGAAAGGACAACTTTCTCCTCTACCCAGCAGGAGACTGGGGCTTGTGGGCAAGTGCTGCCTCAGAGAACTGCATCCATCTAACCTGACCTAATGAGCCTGCATGCTTCTGGCAAAACAAACATGCAGGTCCCAGCATTTGCTTCCCTGGCCGACGCATCAACACCGGAAGCGCCGAGCGTTTCTCACCAGCATTGCCTCTGTAATTCCCCACTGACAGCTTGTATCTATCTCTGCTTGAGGCAACCTGGAAGAAGTCATAGACAGCATAGGCAGATTCATTGGACGTGCGCAAATCCACACGGAGCTCATAATGGATGGGGCTGCTTGTGAGATTGTGCAGCTTGTCCAGACCTACAAGAAAAAAAAAAAAGAAAAAGAAATAATTCTTAAAAGGAAAAAGCCTGTTCACCATTGCAGTCCTAGGATTACACCATGCTCCCATTTTGGTTATATGAGCTATTTTCCTTCATTCTCCTGCTTCATGATGTCACAACATTTTGTCAAGTCTACTGTCCCATCCCATTTCCTGGCAAGAAAGAGCAGTATCAAAAAGACCAAAGAGCCTAAACTAGGCAGGGCAGAAAGAGCCTGGACAGACTGTAGCAGAATATGACTTTCCAGGCCCATTTACTTTCTCCAAAGACTTGGACCCATTTAAAGCTGGATTCTGTGATCTGGAATGAGCTAATAGAATAAACTTAATGTACTCTGTCACTTTCTATCTAATGTCCTGGATTTTCATGAACACAAATTATTTCACCTCTCACAGGAACACATGCCTGAAATAAACCTTTTCAGGGGTTGGAAAATTCTAGCTTGCCCTGGGGCTGCTCCACGGCCCAGATGTCAGTGTCAAGACACCAGTGGGCTTCTGGAAATCCCRAATACTTCATTGGCATTTCTAGCAAAGAGCATAAATGCTGACAGTTCCAAACAGCAGACTCGGGGAAGAGGGGATTTCAGCACTCAGATGCTTTATCAAAGCTACTCTTCACCTCTTCACCCTTCACTGGTCACAGCTTGATGCCTTACCCAGCCAAAATTCACCAGCTGGATCTCCAAAGCCTTCCACATAATCCCTCCAGCGTCTGTAGAAATCCAGCCTGCCAGAGCTCCGCCTCTGGAACACCTGCAAAGCAAGGATTGATCACCAGCTGAGAGGACTGTGGAGAGGCAAGTGGGATGGGCATGAGAAATGGGCCATTTCCATCTTTGACCACCAGCCTGCAGTTCTACTTATCCCCTCATCCCTATTCAAATSCAGGTCAAAGGCAAGGTGCTCAGGAACAGGCATCTCCAGGTAATGGTAAACTGCAGCAGAGTAGGGGACTTGCAGAAATTCATTTTCATTTCCCTGCACAAGTAGTTGGGCATGAATACTTACCTGCACAACCTTTAAAGTTTACTTTCCACAGACAGATTTGGAGGGCACAAAATTTAAGCAGAATCTAAACATCCGGACAAGGATTAGGGACAAAATACACAGACCTACTTCAGTTTCTGAATTCCACAAAATGAGCAGAAGTTGGGCAGTGACATGGTAATTCATTTCAGTAAGGRAAAATACTTGTCACAGAACACAAAGTGAAAAAGCAAATATAAGGATTTTGATTCTATCACTTAGGGATATGGCTCTCAGAYGGTCTGAGATTCATTCCTTCATCCTCATGTAAAAGTCCTTACCTCACAGCCTGTGCTAAATGGCCAGTAACTCATGAGGRACAGAATTCAAGATTATCAGTCCCTTCAAATAACCTTGAATTTCCTTCCTTCTGTTTCCACCTTTAGATTCTCTTGAACCATTCAGCAACTACTGTGTGGTTGGGGTCCAAAGGCTTATTCACATTTAAAGTATTACCAG